ACATACATACATACATACATACATACATACATACATACATACATACATACATACTGTACATACTGCAATGTCTCTGAAACAACACGCAAAGCAACTGACCAGAAACTGTTACTTTCACCTTACATGTCAAAATTGAAACATTTCCTGTCAAAAGCTGAACTTGAAATGGTCATTCATGCATTTATTTCTTCTCGTTTGGACTATTGTAACAGCCTATTCACTTGTTTAAACAAGAAGGAGTTAGACCGTCTTCAGGTTGCCCAGAACTCGGCTGCTCGACTGTTAACTAACATAAACAAACATGCTCACATCACACCTGTTTTGGCTTCTCTTCACTGGCTCCCAGTTCATTTTAGAATTCATTTTRAAATTCTGGTTTTAACTTTTAGAGCCTTACATGGTCAAGCCCCATCATAYATCTCAGATTTGATCCAGCTTCACACACCATCTCGCAGTTTTGAGGTCATCAGGTCAGATGTTGTTGGTGGTATCCCGCACACATTTTAAATCCAGAAGGGATCAGTCTTTCCAAGCAGTTGCACCTCAGCTCTGGAATGCACAGCCCCAACTTATACACAGCCTTGATTCTATTGATGCTTTTAAAAACATCTGAAAACTTTCTTTTGCAAACAGGCTTTTAGCTAAGTGGTTTATTTTTTTATTTTTTTTACTACTTGTATTCTTGTTTGAATGTAATGCTGTGGTGATGTTTTAATTTACTATTTTACTTTCTTGTTTGTGTTCTATTTTCTGTGAAGCGCTTTGTGATTGTATGCCTATGAAAGGTACTATATAAATAAACTTTACTTACTTTACTTAACTTTACTTACATTCATACATCCATCATTTTTTCCCTAATTGTTGTATATCTCCAGCATTGTGCAAGAGGTGAGGTCCACCCTGGAGAGATCTTAAGTCCATCATGGCACATTTAGTCAAGCTGTTAGCTTGCCAGTTTGGTAAATATTAAACTATATTTCTGTCATTCTAAGCACTATCTACAACAGGTAAGATATTATCTGTTCAAAACATGCTCACAGAACCCCACTTAAAAACGTTTCAGCCATCACTTCAAGATATATATATTACATGTGAGTCAAGACTAATTAGCATTTTAGGGATGACGTAATGGAGTTGTGAACTTAGAACTGGCTGCTGTTTGCTTGAGCTCCTATTCGTATGTGGGTATGTTATGTTCTCAAAAAAGTCCTGACTTCATGATGCCTGTTTGTACTTTAACACACACACACACACACACACACACACACACACACAC